ACACATCAAACTGGGAAAGGCTGTTTCAGTAATAGGGAAGAGAAATGATGGTGGACAAGCATTCTCCAATGTGTTGCCTTATAAATGTGTTGGACTTTAGCTCCCATAATCCCACTGAAGCCATCTAGATTCACTAAGTGATCAGCATACATACTTGAAGTTAGACAGATTAGCCATTTCTGAGGAATTGCTTAAAAGTGTAAGTATGAGATGTTAACAGTAGCAGCAGCAGCAGCAGCAGCAGCAGCAGCAGCAGCAGCAGCAGCAGCAGCAGCAGCAGCAAATTCACACCAATCTAGCATTCCATTCTACCAGCTGCCAAACAGATGCTTTGTCTATGAGAATCCCACAAACAGCCATAAGTACAACAGCATGCCCCCACTCATGTTTCCCCACCATGAAGAGCCAAACTGCCCCTGAAACTGGAAGTAATGGTTAGGGTTATATGTTACACTAAGCCGACATAACCATTTGGTTTTAACTTAGTACTGTATGTTGCCTGAACCCAGACACTGTGTCTTATAACCCATGTTTTATGGCTTAGAGTAAAGTATGATCTAAGTCAATTTTGGATATTCAGCAAATGTGGTTAAGCAAATCATGACTGGCTTAGCATGGTCTGAGTGGCTGCTAAGGATACTTGGTCGTAAATGTGAGGATTGGTCACAAAGCTGTTTTTTTCCAACCATTGTAACTTCAAACAGTCGCTAAACAAGGCAATCGGTAAGCAAGGACTACCTGTATGTCATAATTCCTTAGTCTTAAATATCACAAAATTCATTTTCATTGGATGACCCCAAGTTCTAGTATTAAGCAACAAACAGGGAGGAAAATCTCTTCACTTTCTAAGGGATATACAATATGTGTCCACAATAATGCCATTTTAAATATGTAAGATGACTATATGTGTCCTGAAAATGTTGTTACATAAGACATATACAACAGGCAAGAAGAATGTTACTCTGCCAAGCAATATGCTCATTACCTTTAATGGGGAGCCTAGAGAAGTAAAAACTAACATTTGGGTATTATGTTAAACCAGGAATCTTGATTTCATAAACCACCATAAGAGCAACCAGATGATTTTTCACTTTGTTAACACTGAATAAACCACCCAGGAAAGGAGAATTCTGCATTATGTCTGGACACAGGAGGGTGACTTCAAACTGGTGTATGAGTTCTGACTTGTTTACAAATACTTAATCCTCTAATCCAGGGTTCAAACTAATGCAGAATTATCCCTCCCGGGTTGTTTCCTTGGTGAAAAAGGAGAAATGTAAGCAGCTTGTTCACTCACATTGTGGATTTCCAGTTTAACATGAAATCCAGCCATAGTATTACAGCTGCAGAAGAACTAGGTCACGTAACTGAGAGTGAGCGTAACTTGGCCATTGCTTGAAAACCAGCTAAACCTCAGCTTTGGTGAGTTCTCTTCTTTCATGTGTTCCTACCCAGTAATGGAAGAGATGGGGAAAGACTGGCAAACAAGATCAGTATTGGACTCTAGAGGCAAAGATAAATACGCTGTAGAAATAAAGAAGATAGATGCAAGGCTGATCTCTTATCATTCATACATGTTCAGGAGCCCCAACTCACATTTACAAACATTTGCTCTCAGCTGAAATTGTAATTGTTCCCATCTCACTCTCTTATTATGGAGATAATAGCAGGCTTGGATTTATTTCATTCTCCTAAAAATCAATTACTTCTATTGCCACTGTGAATGCCCAAGGGCACCCTGTGAGGTTCTCTCCCAGAAGATGCATTTTTCGTTAAGAAAAGACAATTTCCATTTCAGCCAGTATGAATTAGAAATCTTCTGTCTAAATTGGCTAAGCACAGAGATATAATCAACATATTTCTGTCAGGTTAATAGTGGAGAATGGTCTTCCTGCTAGCCAGAGAAGCATTTGAAATAGGTGCAGCAATTTTGCCCTAAGTGACTTTTCATACCATCCTTCCATAGCCTGGTCATGCTAACAGAAGAGCCCAACGCATTAGGACATTAGGCTGAGGAAAGCTAGTTTTAATACATTATCCTTTGCCTTCAGGTTAGAGCAAAATTATTACCAAGTTGTACTCTTTAATATGATAGATGGGGGAAATTATTCAATATATTACTGGCAAGGAATCACATTAAATATATTAAATTTTAATGGAAATAAAATTGAAGAACAATTGGACATCGCCCTACCCACTACTTTTGGGGGAATATCTTTCAGTATGCCATTCAAAGACCCATGACACAAGGCACAAATATTCTGAGGGAGCAACTTAGGTGTAAATACTCTGAGTGCACTTAGGAGCATTTTCCTTAAGAAGCTATTTGAACTGCAGCACAAATCCCATTCATCTTTGGGCATAAACAGAGGGATGATCAAATTTACTATAATGGTGCTTCTCACTGAACTCTTCATTAAGAGGAACGGCTCTAGAAATAGACTATATAAGGTTAGACAGAATACTGGAAACCACACACTCTTTATTAGTGTCACATATCAAAGGCACAGTATGATGCAAGAAAAGCTTCAAAGAAGAACTATCTTGCTGCCCCCACACAATTGTAGCTCTGCAGCACAGCAAGCATTCATAAACCCATGAAAGTGTATTTGCCTAATTAATGGGGGGGGAGGGGAACTACCAAGCATTGTGTTATATCATGTTTGTAGCGGGTCAATAATCCCTGTTAGATTATTTATACAAAATTCCACTTGGCTAGTGTTTCCCATTAAAAGGCTCCTCCCTGGAAGTTTAATAACCTAGAGATATTTCTGATTTTACCTTCAAGTATATAAATAAATACTTATGAATTCTGTTTTTTAAAAAAGTCCAGTGCTTTTGAAGTGAACTTCAGTCTCTGTGTTCCATCATGACTTTCATGATTGACCCGTGTTTCTTCTTGCATGCTAAAGTGGGACAAGTACCATATTTTTCCGACTATAAGACGATACTTTTTTCTAAAATCCTTGCGCTAAAAATTGAAGGGCGTCTTATTCAAGGAAGTAAGCCAAGGAGAGAACCGTGCAGTTGCAAAACTGCCCATACTTTGTCTCTGCAAAGAGGCTTCCTCCTATTACTAGCCTCCAATCACAAGTGAAATAGCTTGACTCTGCAAACAGGCTTCCTCCAATCACGAGCCTCCAATCACGAGTGAAATAGCTTGACTCTGCAAACAGGCTTCCTCCAATCAC